GCACAAAGGCTGCTTTGAAACCATTCCTTCCCTTTGAGCCTTTAAAAGGCATATTCACAGCACAAAAGTTGTAGCCTGCAACAATTGTCCTAAGGATCAGTAAATTGACAAAAATTCAGCAAGTATCCAAAACATTTACTGAATCCACATTCCAATTTTCAACATCAACAGAATAATTTGGTGAACTATGAGGCATACAAACTGCCAAATAAGGGGTTCCAAACAACTGACTTGTTTTAAAAACATGTCAATGTATGGGCAAATAATAAAAATGACAATGGCAGTCACAAAGTGACCAAAGGTTGTACAAAACCTACAATGCCATCAAAAATTGAACTGAAAAAATTCAGAATGAAAATCAAACATCAAAACAAGGAGCGTTGTACAAAACCCTTGTATTTACTGGCGTGAGATTGACCACAGCACAGTCTCACATGAAAACCCCAGCCAGTTGAGTGCAGTACCAGAAGTACTGGCACCACAGACCAGACAACAAAACAGAGTCAAACGTCAAAGACTCTGAAAAAACTAACCTATTATGGTTAGTAACATTTGTGATTTAAAAGTATCTCAAATACTGAGTGCTTTTAACATTGACAAAGGACATCATGCGCAAAAGATTTGGCCAAAAGATTTTGAAGAGAATATTCATTTACAAATGAAAAACTTAAGAAAAAGATGTCTGACAGAAAAATTTAACATAAATAAAAAATATAAAAAATAAACCAAGATCTCCAAAACCAAAGAACGCTTGTTTAATACAGCATGAAAAGAAAAACATGCTTGTTTAATACAGCATGAAAAGAAAAAATTGCTTGTTCAATACAGCAAGAAAAGAAAACACTAACCATCAGTGACAAAAGAAATTGTGTCCTGCAAAGCAGTGCATGTTACTTACAAATCAAAATTTGATAACCAAAAGTCACCAAAATAAACTTAGAAACAACAAATTCCAAAAATTTGAGCCCAGGAAGAAATCCAGAAAAAATCAAACCTTTGGGTAAGAGCAGCCCTTAAAAGACATAAAGCCAAAAGAAACAAAACCAAGAAAAGGAGCCTAATCCTGCCAAAGAATCCAAAGGAACAAGAGCAAACCAAAGGAACAAGAGCAAACCAAAGGAACAGAGCAAACCAAAGGACAAGAGCATACCAAAGGAACAACAGCAAACCAAAGGAACAAGAAAAAACCAAAGGAAAGGAACCAGGAAACACCAGAAGGAGCTTCACTCAAACTGCAGAACCAAAATTATTGTGTGCTGGAAAAATTTCAGTGAAGAATTTTTTGTGTGATGCTGGCACCATGATGTGAAATTTTTTTTATGCAACCACTAAATGGTGCTCAAAAAACCTCCTTTCATATTTTTTAAACTGCAAAAACATGCAATCTGAACTTTGTTCCTACTCTGTGTATCCCACCTATTTGTGATATGATTAACCCAAGCTTCACTCAAACTGCAGAACCAAAATTACTGTGTGCTGGAAAAATTTCAGTGAAGAATTTTTTGTGTGATGCTGGCACCATGATGTGAAATTTTTTTTATGCAACCACTAAATGGTGCTCAAAAACCTCCTTTCATATTTTTTAAACTGCAAAAACATGCAATCTGAACTTTGTTCCTACTCTGTGTATCCCACCTATTTGTGATATGATTAACCCTTTTTTTTTGAGTGTCAAAAACTTTCCAATGCAGATTGTTCAAACAAAATCTAAAATGTTTTACAATTTGAGACTGATCACCTCACATTGTAAAACATGCAAAGGAGACTGATCACCTCTCTTTGCAATATCAAAAAAGAAAATTAAAGAAAAAAGTTGGGACCTCTCAGCAGAACTCCACCTCTCCAAAAAAAAAAAAAAAAAAAAATAAATAAAAAATAATAATAATAAAAAAAAATAAATATATAAAATAAAAATCCAACGCACCACAGGGGCATCCATTGTTCGGCGCCCGCCTGTCATGGTGTTTAAGAGCCTTATATTTTCTCAAAGAGCACGCTAACGCGGGCTCCTTGAGAAAATAGGGGGGATTTGTTGGGGAAATGCCACGCGAAAACCAGTTATCATATAAAAAACTGCGCCGCACGCCAAACACTAGGAAAACCCTCACATAAAAAACTGCGCGAAAATCTTGATAAGAGTTCCAACCCTCAAAGGGAAGGAACTCACCAAAAACCAGAAATCAATTTCCATTTCCCCAATCCATGGAAAACGGCAAAAACTTCACTTCAAATCGAACCCTTGAACAGTGCAGATTGTTGTGAAACTCGCAAAATTCATGAATATTCTGTTGGAGTTCTGTTGAGTGTTGCAATTTCCAAAAAGAATACCTTTTTGTGTTATTTTGTGGGACAAATCTTGAAATACATTCAATCAATTTTAATTAGGGAAACCGAAAGAAAGGTTCCCCGGCCTCGTCCCAGGCTGATTCTGTTTTTTATTTCAACAACCAAAAAACTTTACTTTATAAATTGATCCATTTTCAAATTTCTAACAAATTTATGTTGAGGTAAGTTTCTCCCCAACAGCCACCACGTCAAAAAATTATAAATTTAGTCACACATTGACCATATATCTACATTTGAATAAAACTAGCTACTGCTGAATATATAGAACACTGATGCTCTAAATTAACACTGCTGGTGGAAGTTGAACAAGCATGATTAAATTATCAATGAAAACAATTTAAAATAATGTACCTACCCCATCATGTGTTGCACAAAAATGCTTGCATTTGTGAATGCCATTTTAAAGCAATGCAAAATTCATCATTGAATGTACTGAAGCAGTACTGTATTTATATTTTTGTTATAAATATAAAATATAATATAATATAATAATGTATGTATTATATACTAACCTGTACAAAGACTCAAATGCATAATCAGGACCCCTAAGCATTGTGAACCATTTTGTTCCAGGCTCTGTGACACTCCTCAGTTTCTCCAAGGTCATATTTGTGTGCAGGCAAAATATATTTGCTCTTTGGCCTGCACATGGTTGTATTGCTTCTGAGACAGAGACTTTATCCAGGATGTGGTTTCCTTTGTTGGGGAAAGCAAAGATAAGATTTCTTGAGTCTCCATATCGCAGGAGAGTATTTTGTATTGTGGAGCTTCCTGTCTTGTGGATCTTTAAGTAACCAATGTTTTTTTCTGCCTGTCTCTTTGGTTCTACGTCGTCAAAAACTTTGACGGCGTGCAATGCTTTGTTGCAGGTCATCATCCATGATGTCACAGCTCTTTTGAAATCCGGTTGCAGGTTTCTGTTGAGAGATAAAAATTATGCTCATCATACAGGCAAAATCTTTAGAGTCATTCACTCCGTAACAAACAAGCAAGTAATCTTCTGTTGTCTTAGCACTTAGTATATATCCTTACATTGGCAAATGAAACACAGCTAGGCTTCATTTCCACAGAGGAAGTAAGAAGGAATTTAAATGTACTGCTGTAATATAGAAAAAAAGCAAAAGAGGCAGAGATTTTTCTTTCATTTTTGTTAGTACAGTATACTAACAAGAATATACAGTATATGTATTTATCTTCTAAATAATATAGAAGAAAAATGCATGCTTTATATGTCACAATACAGTAATATACTATTACTAGTACTGTAATATATGTATAGTATAGAATAAGAAACATAAGAACCCCAGAAAAATCTACAGTTTCTGCATGCGTATAAAAGTCCAGCAATCTCAAAAATTATTTATTTATTGGCCAGAAAATGGAGCTATACTGGTATAGTATACAGAAAGTAGCAATTCACCTGCACAGTTATTAACTGCTGACATCCATTAACTGTCTTATTGTTTTTATGGAAATCATGGTATATCTGCTGGTGCGGATATATGGATGAGTCAAGAAAAACTTCAAGACCCAAGGGCTGACATGATTTTTCTCACACCTGGCGGATGTTCGCGTATTCTTCTTGCTGGAATCGATCACTTCTTTGTCTTGGAAAAACGAGATTTCATCATCACTGCTGCTGGTGAAATGTGAAACCAGCAGCAAATACACGAAGGAAATTCCAAGTATAAAAAATATAATGACCCATGTTGCGGACTTTCGCCACACTTCTCCCCGAAAAACTTTTCGAAAAATAATTCTGTGACGTTTGAGCATTGGATCGACGGCAACAAGTTTGTTTCAAAATGTATGTATACGACTCCAGGTTATCAGTGCCAGGATATCATATGGGTGAGATAAAAGTCACACAAATGCTGTTGGTCAACAAAGGAGATGTACACTATTCAAGTCAGAAACGCAACAAAATTTCGAAAAAAGTCTGCAATTTTTTCAGGGCCTCAAAGGAAACAGAGCAAGTGCTGATGGTGGTTAATCATCAATGAAACTTTCAAGATTAAAAAACCAAATAAACGTACTAAAACACAGGTTATATGTGAACATCGGCTTGTCAATTGGACCACATTTTTACTATGCATGCACGTTTCGTTGTCCGTAGTGTTCCCAGTTTACAACTGGAGGCACGAAGTACAAAAAAAGACTCGGCAATGGTTCATTTGTGGGTTGTTCATTATCCGTGATACGGGTCACGTGCGTAGAAATTGAATTACTGCTTCGTTTTTCTCATGAATCAGTACGAAATTAAAAGGTAAAAAATTTTTCTTCGGAATAAAATGGATAGTGTGTTGTTTTTGCTCCTTTCTGTGAACTTATTGGCAATGCTCTTTCTGAAGAATTGAACCTTGGGGAGTCCCACTGACCACAGTACCTGTACCTCATCATGTGACGAGCTTCATGATGTCGAGTCGGCATCCGTGGCGACGAACTCGATTTCAAAATGTTTTACGATCGTGAAAGATTGTGCCGGAAGCTTATTTTCTCCGAGCGCTGCTCATTATTCCTATCCTCATATGTAATTGAGTGTGACAGTCTTCGGTAGAATTTCGCGAATATGTGCATTTTCCATGGCAGATACGCTGCTGAACGGGGATTTTGGAAGCATTTCGTTCCTAATCGTTGGCGTTTCTTCCCTTTTTAGCTTGTATAATTGAGCTTTACGCGCTCGTTGATACGATCAGTCATGTCTGCGGTTGGTACCCTCGCTTTTGACGAATTTGGTCGTCCTTTCCTCATCCTCAAAGATCAGGAAAATCAAAAGCGGCTGGTTGGCAGTGAAGCCATCAAGGTAACTTCGTATTTAGATCACTATTGGAAGCGTTCGTGTGAACTGATTTAATTGTTTCAGTCGCACATTCTTGCCGCGAGGAGTATCGCCAATACGCTGAAATCGTCCCTTGGCCCGAAAGGATTGGATAAGCTTATGGTTTCTCCTGATGGTGATGTTCTGATCACGAATGATGGAGCCACTATTCTCAAAAACATGGACGTTGAACATGAAATCGCCAAGCTCATGGTTCAGCTTTCCCAATCTCAAGACGACGAGATTGGCGATGGAACAACTGGGGTCGTCGGTATGTTTTGTGTGGTCGCTTGAGAAAGAGGAGAGAAAAAAACCTTGTGTTTCTTCCCAGTTCTGGCTGGAGCCTTGTTGGAAGCAGCTGAAGATCTGATAGACCGTGGCATTCATCCCATCCGTATTGCGGATGGTTACGAAGTAGCCGCTCGCATGGCGACAGCGCATTTGGAATCGATCTCGGAGAATTTCGTTGTTGACAAGAATAATCTGGAACCTCTTATTCAAACTGCTATGACTACGCTTGGGTCAAAGATGTGAGTCTTACCTTAAACGCTTGCTCTGTCAATTCCTTCTGCTTACTTATCTTTAAATGATCAGTGTCAACCGTTGTCACCGGCAATTTGCTGAAATCGCCGTGAATGCTATCATGAGTGTGGCTGATTTGGAATCGAGGGACGTCAACTTCGAATTGATCAAGGTACAGGGTAAGGAAGGCGGTCGCTTGGAGGAATCTATGCTTGTGAAAGGTGTTATCGTTGACAAAGACTTTTCCCATCCTCAAATGCCGAAGGTTAGACTAGTTTAAATTGCTCTCGATCGCCTCTTTTTCAACATACATCTCATATATTCCAGGAATTACGTAACGTGAAACTCGCAATTTTGACCTGCCCGTTTGAGCCGCCGAAGCCGAAGACGAAGCACAAGTTGGATGTGACCAGCGTAGAAGATTACAAAGCGCTCCGACAATACGAACAAGATACATTCGCCGAAATGGTCGATCAAGTGAAAGCTGCCGGTGCGACGTTGGCTATTTGTCAATGGGGATTCGACGACGAAGCTAATCATCTGTTGCTTCAGAAGGAGTTGCCTGCTGTTCGTTGGGTCGGCGGTCCTGAGATTGAGGTTCGTTCTTGATGCACAAATCCCGTATAAAATGGTTTGATACCGAAGTCGTTGAGCCTCAAACTTGACATGAATATTGTAAAATGAGCTTGACGAAACCCCTTTCGGATTTAGGTGACGCGGCGAGTTTTTACGAATTGTTGATGATTCACGCCACGTAAGCCCGAATATTATCTATATAGACTTCATAGAGTAATGAAAATTGTATAAGAGGCATGTAGGAGGAATTCCGTATTTCAGATTAACGGAAGTGCATGGTGTGGAAATGATGTATTATCTGCCGTTTTGAGCGGATTTGCGTGTCCCGTCGAACAAGAGACGATACTTGGTGCGTTTGCTGGCCTAAAGGTTCTTGTGATTCAAAACGAAAGATGAGGAAGTGAGATTGTGTCATTTACAGATGAACTGATATTGTGTGTCGATTGTATTTTAATTTAGCACTGATCGAATCTTGCGGAGGTATTATCTGGAAACATTTTTGATTCAGTTGGACTTCAATAACTCGAACCTCTTCAAGTCGAATGCCTCGCTAATTTTCCGTAGGCGTTTTGGCTATTACCTTATCGACGCAAGGCAGATAAATGACGTAGCAATATAACCTGATGTGTTTTGGAAGGAAGTGAAAGATTATTGGGCAAATGAACCCTTGCCACCAAGTTCAGAATCCTGTCAGCACATTTGAGAAGCAATTTAAGGCTCAAAATATCACCAATTACACTTTTTTGTAATTCTTTTTGCTTACCTCCAAGAAAAAAGTTTGTTTCTCGAACTTCCTTTTTTTTTTGGTCCCTTGAAATTTGGCTTGAAGAGGTTCGAAATCAGTTCCAAAGTGCCGAACAGTACATTATTCCACTTGGTTTTTTGAAAAGTCCATGATCGCATTCCTGAATTCCAGACGTATTCGCAGCGGGTTAGGTCGAGCCGATAAAAACAATTCTTCGAGTGAATGGACAAAAATGTTGGAAATATCTTCGATCAGCCTTGGTAAATGTGAACTTTGCATTTTCTAGCTCATCGCAATCGCTACGGGTGGAAGAATCGTGCCGAGATTCCAAGAACTCACTCCTGAGAAGCTCGGAGCTGCTGGATTGGTTCGTGAAGTATCGTTTGGAACTGTGCGAGAAAAGATGCTGGTGATCGAGGAGTGTCCGAATTCCAAGGCCGTTACTGTGTTTATCCGCGGAGGAAATAAGATGATAATTGAAGAAGCCAAGAGGAGTCTGCATGATGCCCTTTGTGTTGTGCGCAATCTGGTTCGAGACAACAAGATCGTTTACGGCGGTGGAGCTGCTGAGCTGTCTTGTTCGTTGGCTATTGCTCACAAGGCTGCCGAAGTATGTCATCATTTGTTCTGGTTGCAGGAGAAAAGCTCGCGTGGTTACGAAAATCCTGCAAATAATGAAAATCTCTAGAAAAGTTTACCTATTCAGAGCCAATTCAGAGATTAAAGCTCCGAAAGATGTCTAAATGTTTCTCCGGCTCTTGCGGAAGGTAATCCTGAACCTTCGAAAAGGCTGAAAAGAATCCTGAAAAAACTCACAATTTGTAATTACATTCTGCAAGGCTTTTGTTTCCATGGATTTCGTATTAGTATTTTCCTTTATACATGCTTAATAATTAAAAATTTGTATGCACACCATCGCCTACTTCACTTACCAGAAGATACTTTTTCTGATGCCTAAATTCATTGTGGGATTTTTTGAGCCTACGGGATTTTTTAGTGGAGCAATTCATTATGCAATAGGGCCTTTTTGACTCAAAATTCTGCAAGTCAAAAGCCTTCATAGTGCAAAACGCCGATTTTTTTTTTCAAGTCCCTGTCCAAAGTCGCTTTAAAACAAGTACCCTGAACCTATCTAACTTGAAATTTTTGAAGGTCAGGAGGGCCAGGAAATTCACATATAAATGCTTCTGGAAATGAAAATGAGCAACTTTCATTGGTCTATGAAATCATGGGTTTTGGTTCTGCATCCTCCGTAATCATTCAATTTTTCATTTTCCTGTGGTTAGCTTTTTTATGCTGTGGAACTAAAAAAGGATTTTGGAAGCACGAACAATTGCATCAAAGATGTCAGCCCCTATTTCTTCTTTTTTAATTTATATGAAGCATTTTCAGCCTTAGTTCCACAGAACTTCTCCAAGTCAAACGTTGTTGTTGGTCCTTTCAAATTCGACTTGCAGACGTGTGACTGTTGATTTTTATGGAATTTGTTCTGAATTTTGACGTATTTTAGGAATCGGGCATGGAACAATACGCGTTGAGAGCTTTCGCTGACGCACTGGAAGCCATTCCTATCGCGCTTGCCGAGAATTCGGGATATTCCCCGCTGGAAGCTGTCACTGAAATCAAAGCTCGTCAGGTGGCTGAGAAAAACCCGGCTTTGGGCATCGATTGTCTTTACAAGGGAACAAATGGTGAGTGAAGAGTTCTGTAATATTCTTCAATCGTGACCAGGCCGTGTTCAGAAGAGTTCTTCTGGGGAATCGATGGTTTGATTATGTTAGTCTTCGTGGGCTTCGTTTTCAAATTGATACTGGTGAACTTTCTCTACAACGAAATTCAAGGGACTAGAAAACAGATCGTTGCAGAGAATTCAAAATAAATTCGTTCTTCTGTGTATTGAATCATTTTGAATGAAGAATACAAATTCCATCTTGAAAATTTATGTTGGCAATGGAAGATGCGATCTGATTGTTGATACGGGCGATTGATGATTGTCTTCGTCTGAATAGACGTTTCAGGTTTTGGGTACGAGCCTTTTTGGGTTGCGCTCGATTTTCTCGGCATCTTCTTGAAAAATTAATTTACTGTTTTTGACTCTTGACGTCATTTTTTATTGCTGCAGATATGAAGACCCAGCACGTGGTGGAAACACTATTGGCGAAGAAGCAGCAGATTCTGCTCGCTACGCAACTTGTGAAGATGATCTTGAAGATTGATGACGTCCGCACTTTCCTTCCGAAGGGCTAAAAACCTGGAGGTGGAGTTGGATGCTCCCGTTCCACACTCATGCTAACAAAAGGCCGTTAAATTTTCACGTTCAAGGGCTTTTTATTTGAACACACATCTGCTTACCCTGTGTTCCTTTTTTTGTCATTTTCGAATTCAATCTCGTTAAAAATTGTTTATGTTCCGCGCGGCCTTCATGGAGTAATAATAATAATGTGCCGGCTTCGGGAGCCCAAGAAAATCGTCCCGTTAAGTTTTTTCGAGAAACTATGGTTGTTCTTTTGCAATTCAGGGACCGAAGCTCTATTTTGAATTGTATCAGTTCCAGGCTGCTGATGATTGTGTGAGATAACATGTCGTAGTTCGCGAAAGTGAGACCTGAAGCTGATCCGAAATGGTGATGTGGCATTCATTGACAGCGGCGTTTCTCCTGGCGAGTTTCTTTGAAACGACTCTTTCGCAATCAAGTACGTATCTTCATAGATTATCCTGTGGGTCTGGTCTAAATTACATACTGTCAAACCCTTATTTAGTGCCATCGTTTTTCCTGGCATATTTTGTGGCAATAAGCAAGGGTGACAGTAAATCAGAGGTATTGTATCAGAGAAAAATTAATTTGAGGGCTTCTACTGTTGGTAGAACAGGCTTTTTTGCAGAATTAATTGGTTATTGAATTTGTTTTATGGAAGAGAAAGCTGCACAAACTAATTTGAGGCTCAAATGAACTGCATTTAAATTCGTTGTGCAGAATTAATTCGAATTTTGCACATCTTGGACCAAGTGAAATAGTGGAATTATTTTTTGCAGTTTTGTATCAACCTTTCAATGAAAGCACACAATTCCAACATCAAGTGGAGTGGTTTCATATTTTTTGAAAAAACTATCCCTGTTATTGAGATGCTCTTTGCTGTGGAAGATATTCAAAATTTACCACCCAATTGGATGTAAATTCAGAAATATGATTTTAAAAAATGTGTTTGAGCAAGGGTGTGTGATTATGAATAATGATATTTCTAGAAACATTCCAGAATTCTCTGATTTTAGCCAATTTTCTCATTCAGTACAGGACATTTTTGTGGCGCTAAATGGGGGTTTCCCTGAGAAACACAATGGAGGGAAAATTTGTTCCAGGAACTGTGTATGGGAGGGTGGCACTAAATTGAGGGATTACTGTACAGTATCTCACTAGAAATCCTGAAAAAATTGAATATGTGGAACGCAATTGAAAACTAACCAGCCTTGATGGTTATGAAAGGTGCAATAATTATGTGGGTTCTTGGTAAACATTTTTTGGTTTTCTCGTCAGGTTACTGGCAAGATGGGTACACCTGCGGTGAACCCTTGCTAACGGATGCGGAACTTGAAGCTACTTCGTCTCTCCAGGGCCGAGAACCAAAGCAAGCTAGACTACGGAGTGAGTAACTAAACCAGATTTCAGCCGCAAGATTTGTGAAATTCGAAAAAAAGAGTTGAGATGATGGTGGTGCGCAAATCTTTGCGTTGGGCATTCCGTGTCACCGACTGGAACCCCGACCCAACCCAGTGGTCCCAACTCGCGTCGTTTGTGTCAACTGTTGAGAAGGAACGGATTCAACGATTCGTATTCCAACGTGACGCGAAATCCGCGCTGATTGGCCGACTATTGGCGAGACGGGCAGTGTGTGAATCATTGAGTATTCCCTGGAATGAGATCATTCTCGAGAGAACCGAACGTGGAAGGCCATTTGTGCCGCATTGTGAATCCTTCGACTTCAACGTAACGCATCACGGGGATTGGGTTCTTTTGGCTGCCGAATCGTTTCCCAAATTCTCATCATCGTCTCCTCCGATTATTCCGAGAGTCGGTGTTGATGTTATGAAGCTCGAATCTCGCGATCGTTCCCCGTTGGATTTTGTAACGATTTTCAAACGCCAATTGAGCGTCAGAGAGTGGGATTACGTAGTTGGTGATCGGGATTACGTCTTGAACAGATTCTATCGCATTTGGTGCCTCAAGGAGAGTTACTTGAAAGCGGACGGATGCGGAATCAGTCGAGATCTGCCCAGTGTCGACTTCTGTCCCAAGTCTGTGTTGAATTATGATTACAACTGCTCCATCGTCGCGGATACGACAGTCGACTTACCCGAAACTCTGAAAGACACGAGTTGGAATTTTCATGAGGGGTTCCTGGATAAAGATCATTGCTGGGCAGTGTGTCTGAACTCGGAAATTGTACGATTTGTTGATCCTGAGAATTTCCAACGAGTAACAATCGAGGATTTGGTGTCCGATGCGCTATCAGTGAATGGAATCGATAAAGTCGATGGAGTGAATTTCTTGGCGAAAGACCTTCGCTAAATGATGACGTTTGATTATGGAGGAAAGATTACGAATACAATGATTCAACTTGATTCAAAATAACTCGTGATAATGAATTAAGGTGGATTTTCTCGACAAAGATCCTTGTTGGGCGGTGTGTCTAAACTCGGAGATTGTGCGATTTGTTGATCGTGAGAATTTCAAACGAGTAACTATCGAGAATTATGTGAATGAAATCGATGGTGCGAATTTCCTGGCGAAGAATATTTTTTGAGTGATGGCGTTTGATTATGGAGGAAAGGTTTATAGAATTATTCGCTTTAAAACAACTCGTGATGATGAATTAAGGTGGAGGAGCATGGACTGCGGAAACGTCGGATTTCGAGCAGCAGCTCACGATAGATCTGGGCAGCCAGATGCAAATTAGCTCGATCGCCACTCAAGGGCGACAATACAGTTCAGAATTTGTCATGGAGTACATGATAAGCTATGGGTCCAATGGATTGGACTTCGCATATTATCGCGGATTCGACGGGAGTCCGAAGGTGAGCCCTCGGGTGTATGGTTAGCGAAAAACTTCGGAGATCTTTTCTTACTCCACACGGAAGATGCTCTTTATTTTTCTGCACGTAACCCTCGCGATTCTCGAGAGGAAGTGAGAGCTTGCTTTTGCCCTGATCACGGTATTTTGATTTGATTTTTGTCTATTCCTGAACGGAGATGTCGTTGTGGACAAGTAAGAAAAGTACATTTTTGCCATTCTGTCAGCCAAGTTTTGCTTATTTTCACCACATAAATATTTATATATGGTGACCATTTTCGAATTTTCGCAAATATGAGGCACTTTCTTGAAACACGAAAATCGGGGTGTCTGGAAAAATTGAGTGCACACTCAGTTCATTGCGTTTCTGAAGCGTATAAAAACATTTCTGGGAGTGTCAGTGTCATCTTTTTGGATTTGTGCAAAGAAATTGCTGAAAACCCCCCTTTAGAAGCAATGTCAAGGAAAGACATTTCATGCCTTTTCAGATTAAATTACGGGGGAAAACCTGTTTTCAACAAAAATTTCATCAGACTGTGTCTGATTAAACGTGCATCCATTTTTTGAAAGAATTGCTTGTTACAGTGCAGACATTTGAAAAATTTGGGGTTTTGTTGGAAATCCTCTGCAGATGTTCCTCAAGGCTTTTCTTCTTTAAGACAGATAGCATAAAAAAATCAGTTGAAACTGTATTTTATTTTAATGGATTTTTGATGCGTGAGGAAAAAAAAACGTTTGTAATTTGAAAAGTGGTGGTCTTTCTGGGTCTAGAATTTACATCAGTCTGAAGTTTACTGTAATGCAAGTAACTTCTTAAATTTGCACGCAATTGAAAACAAAATTGTGAGCGATTGAAAAATAGTGAAGCATATTTCAATTGAAGGCGTCTTCATATTTGCGTAAATACGAGAGATGAAGAGTGAGAGTTGAAATTTGCTGACACAGTATCACAAGCGGTTGTATAAACGGATTTAATTTCAGGGTATCAAGTCATGCTCTTGCAAACCTTCAGATCGAAAGCACTGTGGGAGACTGTACTAATTTGAGGCATTTCACACACTGGTGTCGGCTTTTTTTTTATGTGCACTATTTTGGCATATCCGGGGAAAAGTGTTCGTCCGGATCCTTGCACTTCTGCTGTTGGTTCACTTTCCTTGTACAATGTGTGTATGTGTGTATTTCGCAACGAAAAGAAAAAGAAACCTAACCTTTTGTGTGGCAATTTCCTTGCTCGCCTCGACAATGTGTTGTGCTTATTCGCAGGTGCAGGCTCTTGGTCTGCCGCAGGGCAGGATTTCTACCAAAAGCTGTTCATTAAGCTGAGTAGGGTTTCGGTGATCAAACGCATTGCGACCCGGGGAGACGGTCGAGACGACTCCTACGTGAAGGCCTTTACGCTTGATTACAGTGTTGATGGAGACCAATGGGTCGCATTTAACGAGCCTGGTTTCGGCGCAAAGGTCTCGAGAAGCGGATTGCTTTTTTCTCGCAAATCTCGTGTGGCAGTGAAATCTCGTTACAATAACGAATACCGTTAAGCCATTTTTTCTCCTTTTTAAGATTTTAACGAACTTTTTCTCTAGTCCCGGCAGGGAACTCGATGAGTACGTATTTAAACGATCTCATAACAAACTTCTCAATGCCAGTGTTACAAAATTTTTTGAGGAATGTTTTGATCGATTTTCGAGGTAAAAATTTCACAAAATGTGACTGACTGGTTATTGTAGCATGGATGGAAACTGATAATTATGAAAAACGTCCTTCCGAGTGGTTTCACAAATCATCATCCCAGAATTAGAAGATTGGCGCAACTGATTGAATAATTCAAACTAAAACAAATATCCCAGAAGATCACTCAGTTTTTCAAACATTAATGACAAATTTGAAAATGCCAGAAGAGCAAGATTTGATTGATTGTAGGCAGATGTGAACATTTTTTCAGTTATAAATTTTGAAAATCTCATTATAAAATATTGTTCAGGATGATAAACTTTTTCTGGAGTCCCCCAAAATTTGTTGTAACGAGATTTTATTGGATTAGTTTTTTTTAGACCATTTATTTTTATCTCATATCGTTTATCCCATATTATCTTTTTGCATCTCATTTTTTAAATTGTTGAGATGGGGGTCTCAAAAGCCTTGCGACTCATTCAGAAATTGACTGTCCTCTTTTTTTCTTCATAAAATTAATACAGGTGGACACTCTTCAAAACGATCTAGTCCACAGCGGTTGTCTCCGTATGAATAATTTTTAGATCCCATAGATAGGGTTCTCCACAACGAAATTAAAGGCACCAGTAAAGATAAACTCGTTGTAGAAAGAAATTTTTTTGTGAGACGAATTCGAAGAAAGTCGCAGACAAATTAACCCGGGCTTATCTTCCTTCAAAGAGCGGCACAAAAAATTCGAAGTTTCTTTCTTGTTTCTCGTGTTTTTTTTGAATTTTTGAATGATGTAATCTCTGCGACGAAATTCTCTCTACAACGAATTTTTTTCTGGTCTCTTGAATTTCGTTAAAGAATTACTTCATGAAAAAATGTTCCTCCCCCCCTCCCCCC